GACTTCTATTTCTTTCTTTCTTTCTTTCTTTCACGACTTCTTCTATCTCATTTTCTCTCCTATCTTTCGCCTATCTCTTTCTTTCTTTCTTTCTTTCTTTCTTTCTTTCTTTCTTTCTTCCTTTCTTTCTTTCTTTCTTTCTTTCTTTCTTTCTTTCTTTCTTTCTTTTGAGTTCACTTCTTGTTTGATTATTCTTTATTTTTCTTTACGATTATTAATTTTTCTTTTTCTACTTCTTTTTCACTTATTTTCTGTCTTTCTTTATCCCCTTCTTTAATTTCCTCTCCTCCTTTCTCTCCTTTTCATTATCCCCCCCTCTCTCATTTTTTGTTTATCGCTGTTTTTTTTAATTTTTTACATCTCAGATTTTTGTCCCCTCCGCCAGTGTTTTCTATTTTCAAAAGACAATTAAGTACAACACCCACGAAAAAAATGCTCACTGTTTGCACTATTATTCCTGAGAAGTTACCCATTTAAATCCTGATCAAACGTAGCCTTGCTTAATTCTAATTTTTAGATGCTATAGTTAACGGATACCAGTGTGGAAAGAGTAATTCGGATCTAATTCCACCATGACGTGTTGAAACAGCTTTCTCATTATTGCTCTTGAGAAAAGCATGAACACATCGCTTCTCCGCCAGCGATGGATTAAATAGTAGGAGAGATTACTTGAGAGACTCTCGAGCCTTGGGTCGAACTATTTGAAACTTTTAGTGTAACTTTTTAATTTAATGTTGCCTCATTTTGAGTTGATAACCAGAAGAACGTCTATACAAAACATTAAAGTGTTTGGCTTTCAAAATTTGTCAAATTCTCTCCTGGTAACCCAATCCAGCTATTCTGAACTGCCGTAACACAATCTTCCGATTTCATTTAATCTTATATACCAGTGCATCAAACTAATCCAAGTAAATATATGCAGTTCCTGTAGACTACATTGAGGAGCATAAGACCACAGTCACATTACCGTAGGCATTGCCAATTATTATTCATTTTTCACTAGTATTTCTTTCATCTTATTTCTCTTGCTTTTCCACCAAGTAGTAATAATCTTAATTTGTCTGAATTTCTTAGATGGAGCCTTGGCAATTGTTATTCATTTTCACTAGTATTTCTTTCATCTTATTTCTCTTGCTTTTCCACCATGTATTAATAGACTTAATTAGTCTGAACTTTTCAGTCTTACAGACATTTCATATTGAAACACTGGCTCCCGTATGATCACCCAAGTTAAGTAACGTCAACCTTGGTCAGTACTTAGATAAGTTATCACTTGGGAATATCAGACGCTGCAAGCATGGATGTGCAGATGGTGTAATGGATAATGCCTCAGAATTGTTAGTCTGAGTTCCGATTTCCAATTCCCTTTGGGTTCGTTATTTTCACTTACACGTAAATATCCCCGGGAACAGTATGAATGCACCTCTTCTCCCCCAGCTATGGATTAATTAGTTTGACTTGTATGAGTAAACTAGATTGGACAATTTCTTGAGCGATAATAATATCAAAATCTTCCCATCTGAAAATGCTTCCTTGATTTAAATAACATGCAAATGTTTGATAAACCGTAAAACACAAAGTAATCCATCAATAAATAAGCTGGGTTGCTACATTTGAAAACTTTGTCGTAGTAAATTTTGAAAATGCTGCGTGCCCCCATTTGGGTCTTTTTTAAAACAAAGTGATTTTTCTTGAGCTTATAAACTGGGGTAATCGTTTGGTTTAACAATCATGTTAGGAAGAGAATTGATCTTCGTCCCAAATGTTTTGCCATTGTAAATGTCTATATCTTCAAAATAATTTAAGCTACGTTGCTATACTGGACTATATTTGAAAACCTAGCCAAAGTAAATTTTGACTTTTGGCCGCTACTTTTAAAACAAGTTTGCATAACCTGATTCACTAGTGAGAAGTAAGTCAGTTCTCAACTTCCTAGCATTCTCAATTCGCTAATAACCTAAAATTGTAACCCTTGTTGCAGGTCTTTAATATCTGATTAACAAATGAATACTAAATTGGGGATCACCTTTCTTTTGCATCAAGTTATAAACAGGTCCTCCACTTGTTCATCACCCACCCAACAATTGAAATCGCCCAGTTTAGGAAAGTCTGGTTTAGACCTTTCTGAATGAGTTGGACGTCATGTATCATATCCATATGAAGCTATTTAAAAACATGACGAGTTCTTGGGTTTTGGTTTTGTAGCTACTTGTGGTGTTGAGTGAGACTACCCGTAATATAGACTATTCTTTTGCTCAAATACTAAATTTGTTATAATTTACCTATACACCAGTGTATTTAAAGTTCTTAGTATATATTAATTCCACATTATGGATTTTTTTATGATGGTTTTTGAGCCCCAAATGTAAATTACATATCGTAAATACCAAAATCAACCATGTATAAAAATGTAAGTATCTGGGAAGTATTTTAAATCTGGCACTGAAATCCGAAGGCGCATTGATGAGATATTAAAGAGACAGAAAAAATGCCTTCTAAA